ATAATAATAATAATAATAATAATAATAATAATAATAATAATAATAATGAAAGTTGTGAATTCTGCTGTTTCTCCTCTAAACTCTGTGACAAAACCAAACGCATTAAATAAAGAGCAGAGAATAAAAATCTGAACAACCAAACATTTAGTTGAAGGCAGATCTTTATTCCTTTTTTTTTTTCTAAATATGTCGGTGAGTTTTAATTTCACACCATTTGGAGCACACTCCACTGTTATAAAAAATTTAATAAAATAAAAAAAACAACAAACTTGGTGCAGATTCCCGAGCTTTACCTGTGGTATATAAAAAGAGACAAAGGTTGGACCTGAGTGAGCACGTGCTGAAGGTTCAGATCTTATCACGCAGAAATCCATCCATCCATTCGATTGAAGTTTTTTTTTTTTAATCTGCAAAAACACAAACTGCTTTACCTTTCTGGATGAAGTGTCGACTGCAACCCGCGTGTCAGTTTCAGCTCCAAAAATAAAATAAAATAAATAAATAAAAAGCTCCATCAAAACTATTCAGAACAGCCCCCCCACCCCCCCACCCCCCACCCCCCTTGTCAAAAGCAGCGTGACGTTGTTTACAGTGTCCAATCAGAGGAAGCCTTTCCTCCGTTCTGGGCCAATAGGAGTGGCTAAGGAGTGCGCGTGAGTCACAGGTGAGGGTGTCGGGTTAGAAAAAGAAGTGGGTGAAGCGGGCAGGGGAGCGCACAGAGCCCGGGCTGGTGCAGAGCTGTGCAGCGGAGCAGCTGCCTCTTCGGATGCAGCAGGAAGTTTTTCTCCCGCGCGCACGCGAGCAGAAACCCGCGCTGCAGGAGGAAAAGTCACGCGCCAGCAGCTCTCGGCGAAGGGACAAGTCCAGAATGTGGATGAACTGACATCATTTCCTCCAAGACCCGAGCTGACCACTCCACTTGAACAACCGAGGGCGCGTTTGAAAGGAGGGGGGGAAAATGGCCGTTCGAGGCAACTCGCTGATGCCTTTCTCCATCCAGGCCATCTTGAACAAGAAGGACGAGACCCGACACTTGCCAGATGTGGACATGTGCTTCTCCAAGACGGCGTGCTGGAAAATATTCGGGGGGATGAACGCAGGATCGGGGGGGAACAATAATAATAATATTAACACTGAGGAGGAGGAGGAGGAAGATGAGGGGGAGCCTTGTGAGCAGAAAAGCTACGACTCGGACTCGGGGCTCAGCGACGACACGGACAGGAAGACTCTGGCCGTGCGCAGCGAGGAGCAGGACGGAGAGCCGGGCTCGGATGTCCCGGAGGAGAGCCTGCAGGAGGAGACGGACCACGAGTCTGCAGCTGCGGAAACCGCGAAGAGCGACACCGAACCCAGCAATGGCACGGGTAGGAAAGTTAGGCTCCAATCGCTGTAAAAACACGCAGTTTGAAGTCAAAGTGCACGTTCACTGTTCAATACAGAGATTTTATAAAGTTATGAAGAAGCACATTGTGTAATCCAGGCCTAAAGTGAGAGAAAACAATGAAAAAACAACTTCTCCATAGCTTTTACGCACGAATCGTCCTTTTACGCACGACTTTCAACAGAGACCCTTGGCCTTTTTAAGCCCCATTCGACACTTCTTCTGTTCTCTGCTTTAGCAACATTACACATGTAATGTTCATAAGAGTAAACATTTATTTTTACATTTATTATACTGCAAACTTCCATAAACAAGGACCTGAAGATTGTTTTGTAAACATTTTGGCACAAATGCTTTGCTGAAGACCTGTTGAAGTGTATTTGTTGTTTTCTTGACCAAGTTTCTTTTGAAAAACTGATTTTTAATCTCAATTAGATTTTCTTTACCTGTATAAACAAATAATGAATTATTAAATATTTTTTTATTTTGCCCTTCAAAATAAGCGAATTCAAATGAAGTTCCTGAAATTAACAATTAAAAGTAAACAAAAACAAAAAACAAAAAATGTATACTCTTTTAGATTAGGGAGTAGTTTTGTGCTCTTACCTGTGCGTCCTAAATGCAAATCAGTGAAATCACATGCACGCTCCTCCCGTGTGTCTCCGCAGACAACCTGGACGGGAAGAGTCTGGATCAGCCCAAACAGCGCAAAAAGCGCTCCAGAGCCGCTTTCTCCCACGCGCAGGTCTTCGAGCTGGAGCGCCGCTTCAACCACCAGCGGTACCTGTCCGGACCCGAGCGCGCGGACCTGGCGGCCTCCCTGAAGCTCACAGAGACTCAGGTCAAGATCTGGTTCCAGAACCGTCGCTACAAGACGAAACGCAGGCAGATGGCTGCCGACCTGATGGCGTCCACCCCGGCGGCCAAGAAGGTGGCGGTAAAGGTTCTGGTCCGGGACGACCAGAGACAGTACAGCCCGGGAGAGATCCTGCGGCCCCCGCTGCTCTCCTTGCAGCCCTCCTACTATTACCCCTATGCTTACTGCCTCCCCGCATGGACACTGTGTGCGGGGAATCAGTGAGAAGCCATCGACTGTATTTATTCATTTTTATGATTTCTGCTCCCGGGATCCAAACTAACTTTATGTTTTTCTGACACGAAGAGGGGGCCTGAGGGGGCTGTTAATCAGCTCAGCGCCTCTGAACAGCTTCAGGGGGTTCACAAACCTTTTCATGGGTTCTTCACACTTTCAGACACTTGTTTCAGAACGAGTCTGTTTTGAAGGATCCCAGTAAGAAAAGAAAAAGTACATGTTTGCTCTTAGGCGCAGAAACTGCAAATGTCTAAGCGGACAGACAGAAACTTCTTATAAAATGTGTGTGTGGACTGACATGGTCAAACGAAAACAACAGCAGCCTATTTCTCTGTTTGCTGGAACCCCCTCCAGGAACTCTGAGGGCCCCCGGACCCCACTGTGGGACCCCGCGGCTGAAATAGACTTAAAATAACATCTTGTGCTGGTTCATATTTTACATGCGCCTTTCTACCTCTGCAGTGATTGGATAAAAAAGGTATATTCCGTTGACTTTTTAAAACAACTGTCTCCGTTACAGGTTGTGTGTGATTTTTTTTAAATTCTTGCTGTGTTTGTAAAGGTAAGATATTTAAGCACTTTTCAGCCTATTTGTTCCATTATTTCAGAGTAAGACGCGTGCGGTGTGGACATCCTCACAGTGGCAGGAAGCAGGAAACAAACCGACTCCTGGTTGAAATTTGCCTGTTTAATTGTGATTTTTTTTTTTTTTGACTGATTTGATTGAATTACATTAAAACATATCAGGCATTACTTGCATCTGGATGCATTTTTGTTCACTCAGACAGAACAAATATAAATAGTCTTCTAAAAGTATTTACAGCTTTTTATCGCGTCGATTTTACGCGCTCTTTTTTTGGGTATTCAATTTTATTTCACCCCTAAGAGGTCACATATATATACAGATTATAATCAGGATGCTGGTGAAGATTCTCAGTCGTTTTTTGAATTATATCAGGAATAACAAGTCCTTACATTGTTTTTTAAACAAATAAATATGTCGGTAAAGGAGATTTCTTGGATTTTTGAATGTTTTCTCTGAACTTTGAGAAGAGAAACTGAGTCCACCATCATGACTTTCCTTCCAAACACACCTGTCAGACTGATGGATTGCTCTGTGACTCCCGGACACCTGACAGACACCTTTAGGGCCGCGTGTCAACACAACGACATGAGCACTCCGGGGTTAAGGAGGCCCACGTCACCAAGAAGAAAGACGCAGTTTCTCGGTTTGTGCTCCTTGGAATGGCTGCTTGAACCTCTGTTTCCCCGTGCACCCTCTTGTAGTGGAGCTGAAAACTGGAGTCGAATCAGTTTTTAGTTTAATATTCATTGAGGGGTCAGCCGGAGCTGTGCGCACTCTTCCATCTCTATCCGACACAGACTGTGCATCAAATGGGTGGTCTGCAGTTTTAATAAATTAAAAAATAAAGCTAAATTAATGATGCGACCTTAAATTAATGTCAGGAAAATAAAGTTGCTTCAAAATGAGCCAACATGGTGATCACCGGAAGTTTAAGATGTTTCAGAGGTGAGTTCCAGCTGCATACTTTCTGTTCTTCTTTACAGATCATGCAGGCACAGATCTGATCTTTGTGGCACAGTCATGTCCTTAAAGCTGTTTGGCGCACCCCCACAGACCACGTGACGCTCCTCCACGGCTCCTGGAGGACAAACTGAAGTCGCGGCTGCTCTTCCTTTCAACCTTGCTTGAAAATGCAAACACTCCCCATCAGTAACACCAGCCTCACTGTTTTATCTTCATGCACAAGTTTTCTTTTAGAATCTCTGACTGGAAGCTCGTTGATCCGCTCCTCAAACAAAAAGACACTTATTTGATTTTACGCACGGGTCAGTGTTTGTTTTCTTCCTTGCGCGTCTGGAAAACGGTGTTAAACTTAAACTATTGAACTTGTCAATTTTTGTTCAAAATGCAGAATTAAAAATTGTTTTATATTTTGCAGAAGACAGACAGGATTATAATATTGTGGAAGGAAAACTGAAACATTTTGATTTGTTCAACTGCTGAAATCATCTTTTGTTTTCTCAGGACGAGCCAAACAGAATATTCATTTAAATTTGGACCTTGTGATGTTTTTAATTACACACGCACATTACTTTTATTTTATTGTATTTTTTGCATTCTTGCATTAGACATAATGTCTTCTTGACGAATTTAAACTGATCAATATGTTGTTTATAACTGGTTTATAACTGGTTTGATTAGTGCACTTCGCGCATGCGTAATTTAATGTCACTTTCTTTTACTCATGATTTTAAACAGATTTTAAAGTAATTAAATTCTCAAAGCACAAATATCTCAGTTAAATCCTAAAAATCACATTCATCTTTGGATGTAGGAAACATCTGCTTAATCCTCCGCAGGTTTGCGCAAAAACATCTGTCTGCAGCTGCACGCGCCTCTTTTGCGGGTTGAGAATGAGAATATATTGTGAAAAACACAAACCAGAGAATAATTAAAAAGCCCAAATATAAACCAAATATTTATTTGGAAAAATCTAAACTTCAGTGATACACTTTGACAAACGAGATTTTATTTTGTGGATTTGAGGAAAATCCTTATTTTGCGCCGGTTCATTCTGAACAAAACATACCATAATTTAGATTAGAGATTACAGCAGACAGAGTTTACTGATCACTTGGGAAGATTCCTTCAGGGAAATCCATTTTTTTTTTTTGTGTGGAGTAACTGCGCTCCTGTGCAGCTGCAAACTTCTGATGGTTACATTATTAAAGACAAATAATATCAAAAGAGCAAACCCAAAATCAGCGCGCGTTATTCCGAGTTCTGCAGAAACGCTTGTTTAGATAATTTAATACAAATAACTTCTAAAGTAAGATTTCTGCCTTTTCTCGTATATTCATGTCTTTCTGCGGCAGACTGATATTTTTAAGTGCCAGGTTGGAAAAAAAAAAAAGGTTCAGCTCATGTGGCGCTGAATTTGTTTAGTCAAATTTACTTCGCGACTTTTTGTTTAGATATGTGCATCTCATTTATGTATTTTGTTATTTACCAAAAAGCGCAATTACTTTCCAATAACTTTTATTTCCCCTGGGGCAGCTGTCAGTTCCAGCTGATATTCAGATGAAGTCTCGCGCAGCCCCAAAGTGAAACTGATCCTTTCCTGGTTTCACTGCATGACTGCCTGGTTCCTTGACTGCCTGGTCCCTCGTCTGACTGGTTCCCAATCTGCATGGTCCCTACCTGGTTCCTTGTCTGCCTCGTCCCTTTTCTGCCTGGTTCCTTGTGCCTGTTTCCTGTGCGTAATTTCATTTAGTCTCAGTGTTTGTTGCTGCTCTATCAGTTGATTTTTGTTGTTAAAGTCAGAGTTTATTAGTTCCAGTCTGTTTCCTTTGGTTCATCTGAAAACCCTTTCTGACAAACTCACACTTCCAGGGGACTTCACACTGAATGACCAGCTTCATAGTTGACTTGTACAAAATAATTGTACACATAAAGTAGATAAAATAAAAAAAAATCAATGAGCATCTCACTTCAGAAGCTAAAAAAAAGAAAGAAAAAAAGATTTTTGCATCCTGGTTATAAACGTGATATGATCATTGTCAAAATGACTATATTGACTTATTGTTTTTCTTTCATTAAAATCAACACAGTTTTGTTCAAAACAAAAGAATGAGCAAAGGGTTTGAATCAAAGCCAAATTTTATACTAAATTCTACAAAATAAAATGTTGCAATTCATCACAGTTTAAATCAATCACAGTTTGGAAAATAGATTAACTGCTTTCAACTTCTTGAATTATATTCTGAGAAAAATATCTGGATGATTTATTATTATTATTTTTTTTTTCATCAAGCAAACAATTTCTCTTCAAACTGATTCTTTGGAGAAAAATGTTAATTGGTGGTGTTACACTGCACAGGACAAAACTCCTTAATACATGGCTTATTGGATGTCTTCACATGTATTAGATTTAATAAGAAGATAAATAGAAAATAAATCAGCACCAATAAGAGCATTTACAGTTTAATGTGATTTTCCAGTCATGATGATAACTTTAACATACATTAAAAAAAAAAGAGAGATTTACTGTGTAAACTGATTGCCAGGTTTGGCTACATAATATTAAAAAAATAAACAGTATTGAGATGAACACATTTTCAATAGTGTGTTTCTGAAGGCATAGATTACTAAGTACTGTACTAAGATTAAGATCATCATCATAAGTAAACCGAGGTGCTGAAGAAGTGATGGAGTCTGTGATGGCGCAGGCATTCAAAAATACAAAAAATATAATCGAGTTGAAAAAAGACAAGAATAAAAAAATGTGGAGTTATATGGATACATACTGGTTTCATACCACTTGACCTCACAAATTTTTAACTGAAATAAGATGTTCTAGAATTTTACATTTTTATATAGACTGATTGTTTGCATAGAAAAACTCATAGTCTCAAACTAAAACAAGTAAACAAACGCGCATAACAATAAAATAACAGACGATAAAAAACTACGAGTTTATGTTTACACTTCAGCTGGAGTCCGCTGTTACCATAGCAACTGCAGCGCGTCACACAGAGGACTCGCGCGTGGTGATTCAGTTTCCGGTTCCAATCGTTTCCTGTGAAGATAAAGCAGGGTCTACATGGAGAAACTGGAAACATTTACACACTGACGCGCCGAGCACTTCTTTCTGGTTGTCGCTATCCCCGCTTCAAGAAAACTGCCCGTCTCGGCAGCCGAGAGCGCGTGCGACATAATAACCGAGCGGAGGGGCTGCAGCCAGGCGTTACAGAAGTCAAAATGGCGGCTGCTCTAATCCATCTGTGATCACTCCTCGGTAGCTGCACCCAGCAGCCCGCTTCTGGTCACCGGCGCTTCGGTTTCACTCGGTCAGTCGGAGCACAGTCTGCACCGTCATGTCGGATTCAGAGGAGGACAGCCAGGACAAGCAGCTTAAAATTGTAGTGGTTGGAGACGGAGCGTGTGGGAAGGTGAGACCGACAAAGAAAGACGTTTATTTTACCCGAATTAAAAGCGAGAATAATCTTTCTAGTGGCGTATTTGTAGTCCAACAGTGTGTTTGGCTTTTAAAACGTATTTTAGTGTCCAGCTTCCGTTCCTGCTAACGCTGCTGGTTTCCTGGTCACCATGGCGACCGACGCTAATGTAGCTAGCCTAGCGTGGCTAAATCAACAGAGCTAACAACAGAGCAAGTGGAATCAGAGCTTTTTGTTTGGGGTTGGAGCATCACCAGTTAAACATTTAGGTTAACATCTACATCTTAACTGTTTATTTGTTCGTAATGCAGGAGTTTAAAACCTATTTTAACATTAGAGATTTTCCAGCAAGAGACAAATAATTGTGTTTTTGTGCACATGTTTTACTTGCTCGTGTGCAATTTAAAAAAAACAACATTTTTTTGTAATTAAGTTTTTTTTTTTTTTTTAAATATATCTTAAAATGTTAATGTACCAAAAAGTTTTAAAATTAATCAGTAAGAAGCAGTCAGGATCCAGTGTCATATCTTTACATACATAGCCTTCATTTGTAAACCTAGCAAAAATTATACATATATGTTTGGTCAGTTATTTCATTGTTGTAGTAACACTTCTTGGCAATAAGTCTTATGTATTTGGAAAGCCTATTATTTCCACTTAAATGGTGCCACATTTGTTCGTAAGATGCAGTCATGGAGCGGCACAGCTGAGTATGAATGCTGTGTCCATGAAAACTTGCCACTTTTTTTGACTAATGCCATACAACTTATTCTGCTAGTGTCTCTTGTTTGGTGTTGTTTAATGGATTGCATATTTGAAGTATAAAGAATCAAGTCGCATAAGCAATTTACAACGTATTTATTTAACAAACAAGGGTCTCAGTAGCGCGTGGAAGAACAATACACTGTATTTTTTTCAAATGCATTTTCCTCACAGTTGCTGCACAATTTACAGGAAATAAACAGGCTTTTAAACGGTAGAAGAAAGTTTACATTTCCAGTAACACATCATCTGCGAAAAGCTAAAACCGCTCAACTGTTTTTGCATGATTAGAGTACTGTCTGTATCCTGATGCATGCTCAATAATCCAGGTAGAAAAATCCTGTTTGTACTGTCTGTAGTAACTAAGTTCTTTGAAATGTCCAAATTCATAAAGTAAGAACAAATTCCGCACAGGTTTTCTCATATCAATGGCTAATGTGTCCTTAAATTAAAAAAAGAGTTGGTATAATTTGTAAATGGCTGCCAAATACAACCTTTAAGAATAGCTGAAGTGACTGAAAATAAGTCACCAACTGTAATGTGCATGAAAGAGCTGCTGGGGCTCAAGAAGTCAGATCGTTCTGATGTATTGGTATGTATTTACTGTATGTTCACATCAAAGTGCTTTGTTTACATTGAGTGTGGACCTGAATTACAGAGATGCATATCAATATATCAAGGTTCAAGGTGATTTTATTATCAGTCGCATCACACACGGTACATGAGGTGGAACAAATGTGTGTACAGTACTCAAGGTCCCAGTTACACCCAAAAATAGCAAAAATATAAAGTATAAAAAAGAAACCGTATATAAGGATCTAAGATATACACTAAACAATAATAATATAATATAATATGATATGATGTATTAAACAGCAGCCTGAACATGAGTCTGTTGTGAGCAGATGGGTATATAGCAGGTTAAGGTAAGAAATCTGCAGCATGGATAATCATCAACAGCACCAGCATCTCAAAAACTAATGGAGTAAATCATTTCGGACTGCAACACAGTTCAGGATAACATTTTTTATGTTGATTTAAGAGTTTACACAGAGAACCATTGATGTTGAAAACTTCCACACAGTTGTTTTTTGAATATAGTGCCTTACTCTTGTCAAAATGACGCATCATGAATAGTGTTGCATTAAAATGCTTAAATGCTTTTTAAAGATGGTATGAGTCATCTGTCTGGTTCTCAACAAGCTGCTCAGTTGTGTGGCGCCATACTAAAAAAACAAGCTTTTCACAAAAGTCTTTAGAGGATGACAATAGAAAATTGTAGCTCTTATGACAATATGGATTTTACTTGAGTGGATTAGCTTTGCATAGTTATTAATCCATGTTACTGTATGACAATGCTTATTGAGCAAATAGTAAACAATTTATTTTATCTATAACTCTTGATTGTGGCAAAATAATATGACAAAGACTATTACATGACTTTAAATAAATGGAAAATGGACTGCACTTGTATAGATAATCAAGATACTCAAAGTGCTCTACACTCCAATCTGTGCCCTAATTTACCCATTCATACAGCACTCTACTAGATCTCTACAAACACATCAGTTCACATGAATATATTCCTATGGAAAACATATCGGAGGCAATGAGAGGTTCAGTGTCTTGCCCAGGGATGCTTAAGCAAGTGACTGCTGGTGGAATCAAACCCCCAACTCTCCCATTGGAGAACGACTGCTCTAACGACTCAGCCACAGCTGCCCCAAACTTTATGCTACCTGCAGGTCCTTTTAAACTGAAAAGTGATTACATTTTCTACTAATTTTGAAAGATTCTGAATACAAAATTTAAACTTATTTAAAGTGGTAGCAATAAGTTCCCTGTTACTTTGAAAAAATAAAAAATAAAAGTCAGCACAAATGAAATCCTATAACCAGTTATGAAAATTGTGCAGTAAATACTAGAAACAATATTTGCAATTTCAGGTCAGTGTTCAAAATGTGACTGCCATATCTCATAGTGGATTAATAATTATAGCTTTGAGTCAGTCTCAAAGATAGCATAGTAAATTTAAACTCTTGTTTTATACCTATTAAGTCTACCCAGTCCTTAATCCACAACATGTGTACACTTGAATGCCGTTTTTGTCCGGCGCTTGTGGTCCTGTGCTTTATTGCAACTGAGATAATTGGTTTTGCTTTATTGAAACTGTTGCTTGCCTCAATGAATTTGTAAGAAATATGGATTTTAAGGCCTCAGCACCCAAATTAAATAGGCAACACACAAAACTTTAGCAGTTTGTTGTGCTGTACCGTGCATAAAATGTTGATAAAGGTTACAGTTTGCTTAGCCTGGCTCCTGCAGCTGAATGCACGTCTCCTGGCAAATGCCTTTTCAAACCTCGTATGCATACATTATATGGCTCCTGCGATAGGTAAGAAAATTGTGTCTTGTGGAAACGTGAGAAATGCTCTGTTTTTGCAATCATTGATGCAAAATAAAACTTTGAAAAGAATCACACTTTACTGGTGTTAGAGATGTGGACAAATGTAAATTAGTAAATTTCTTGTTTTTGTTAAATCTGCTCAAGGATCGTAACTAGAGTGAGTTATAATGGTCATAGCTCAAAGTAAAATGTCTACATCAACAACAGAGGCATTTTTCCCTCTTCAACCAAACAATTACCAGTATTTGTAATAAAGGAAGGAGGTCGTCATGGTAGTTAAGCCATGTTTCTTCTTCCCTGCATCTTGAATGACTGTGATTTTAAGGGAAGGATGTCAAGCGCTTTTCAGGTACACGTTCCCTCTTGTAACTGATCTCTTCTTCCTTTGGGAGAAAGAAAATGAATGAAGGCGTAATGGCTAGACTCGATGAGAAAAATGAATGTTGTCATTCTGGAAAGTCGACATTTCTTTTGGGAGACGATGTGTGTCTATGCGTTCAGAGGATATACACACAACTCAGTTCCCTGTAGATACGCTACATTAATAACCCTCCTCACACTGCTGCCAGGTGTCAGCTCGTCTCTGTCTGAATGACTTACCTGCTTGTCTGTTTTGGACAGAACGCAGGAGCCCTGCCCCCCATTTTGACTAGGCACCACTGACTGACATCTTGAATGCTGTTTCCCCCCTTATTAATGTCAATTTGCTCAGCAAATGGCAATCGGATCAGTTTTTCTTGGACAGCATTTTCAGTGGTATTTTTGCTTGCGGTTAGTTGTCCATTCAAACTACAGGGAGATGTGGGGAGGCTTGTCCACCTGAGCAAGATGTTTGAAAAATATGGAATCTCACATTTAGCCAGGCTCTTAAAACGTTGGGCTGAGCTTACACACTAGTCTATTTTTCAGCTTAAGTTAGAAGGCTCTCAGTTTTTTCTGAGTGTTTGCTGCTCTCTGACCCATAGGACAAAAAGGAGCTTTGGGTGCAGGCCCTGCACATTGGTGGATACTTTTTCCAGGACAAATTCCTAATCAGCCATAAGTTATGTCTGCTGTAGCTGCTTAAGGACTCTAAGTGTCATTTTGTTACAGGCCTGTAAAAATGTAATTCTTCATATGAGTTGCATCACATGGTCAGTGCCTTGTCTCTGCAAGTTTCTTGTATCAGCAGAACTTCCTCATTTCCCGACACTGGTATCATTGGTGACCCTGTGCTGTTCTGTTCTCTGTTGGAGAGTCATGATTATTACATTGACTGGTTAGTTCCAGTTGTACTGTGGGAAAAAAAAAAAGAACTAAGTTAAAGAGGAGAGCCAAGCTACTGGAATGCCAAGACAAATGGCCAACAAGGCCAGCGTGAGCATGTGGAATACATTTTTGCTGTCCAGACTTGTTAGTTTTATGTTGTCAGTGATTGTTTGGGCTACTTAAATGGCTGATTTTCTCCTTGTTGCATCAGTCACCTCTGGTAATTTCTCAGTCACACTTGAGGCTTTGACTTACTCAAAAAAAAGGTAGAGTGGTTAATTTAAAAAAGAGGAAAATATATTTATATTTTTGGCACCACCAAGAAAACATTTTTCAAGAAAGTCATTGGCACAGAGTCGGTAGGTTTAACTAGAAAAATAGAATAGAATATAAACTATTATTAATCCCAATGGAAGTTTAACATCCATCTACAAAACGCATAACATGACATGGAAACCCCCAAAAGCTATCATAAAAAGCCCTCTTATGCTGTTATTGCAAATATCACTCAGCCCTCTGTGAATAGCAAGCAGCAACCAGGGCACTAACGATTTATTGTTAAGCCGATTTCCATCCCTTTGCATGTGAAATACTAGTTTTGTCTGTCACCAGCAAACTGGTTGATCCGCAGCTCCTCAGAGTGATTAAGTCTTTTGGATAAAATACGAAACGTTTCAACAAAGAAAAGTCCATCTGATTCAACCTTGTTAGATATCTTATGAAGCCCTGTTAAGAACTACTTAACAACTACCTTAAAAGCCACAAAAAATACCTAAAATATCTCATAAAGTACAGTTTTAAAGAAGCTCTAAAAATATCCAGATTCATGCTCAATAATCTAGGTAGAAAAATCCAAGAAAGTTAAGTCAGGTCCTCTGGACGGTTTATTGTTTGTTGAAACGTTTCATCTTTCATCCAAAAGACTTCATCACTCCGAGGAGCCACAACAAACTCAGTCTTATATCTAGCACCTGGTTGACCCACTATGTGAAAGACGAAACGTTTAACAAAAAAAAAATGAAACCGTCCTGAGGACCTGACTTAACTTTGTTGGAAGCTCTAAAATAGCACATTACATGACAAGACATTCCACACAACAACTTGCCACCTCACAAAATAAACAAAATAGATAATAAATAATAAATATACCATGAATTTCCCTTGGGATTAATAAAGTATTCAAGTTCAAGTCAATTTTATTGTAATTTCCATCATATGTTCTACATGAGGTGGAACAAAATTATGTACACAGAGTCCCAGTTACACCCCAAAATAGCAAAATATAAAGTACGCTAAAAGATCTAAGATATACACTAAACACAATGTAAAACAATACAACGTAACAACAGCAGCCCAAACTTGAGTCTGTGGTGAGCAGATAGGTATGAATGAATACAGCAGCATGAGATAGTCAGCAGCGTGAGATCAGCAGCATGGATAATCAGCAGCACAGATATGTCACATATCACCAATTAAAGTGGCATTGCAGTGATTTTTATTTTCTTTTTCTTTTTCCCATACAGTGATTATTCTGGTTAGGGATTTATGAGTCTAACAACTTCAGGGTAGAAGATGCTCAGTCTATTGGTTCTACACTTAATGCTCCTCAACCTTCTGCCTGAGCGGAGCAGGAAAAAAATTGTGTGCTGGATGAGTGGGGTCCTTCATGATGCAGGTGGCCCTCTTCCTGCATCTATAGGTGTAGATGACTGTGATGATGGGGAGGCTGACCCTGACAGTCTTCTGTGCAGCCTTCACCACTCTCTGCAAAGCTTTTCTTTCTGCAGCTGCGCAGCCTCCATGCCACACGTTGATGCTGGAGCACAGGATGCTCTCCACTGCACACCTGTAGAAGGAGGTGAGGACTGAGCTTCCCAGTCCAGCTCGTCTCAGCCGCCTGAGGAAGTAGAGTCTCTGATTATTCTTTAAAAAGTCAAGATTTGCTAAACATAAAAAAGTGTTTACTTAAAATAAAAGATTTGGGTAAACCACAATAAGGAGTAATTTAATTTAAATTACATTATTTGGCTTTCTACTATTCAACTTAAAACTAAACACTTTGAGTGCAAACTAAAGCAGATACGACACAGGCGTGAGTGAAAGCTTAGGGGATTGACAGACAAAATATAGGTTTAAATCCTTAAACCAGCAGTGATTGTCAGACACCATATTAAAATACATTTACTGACACATTTGAACACTGATGGAATCCCATTGCTTCACTTTTCTGCTGCGTTTATGTAAGCACGCTGCTCTAAACATAGCTAATATACATTCAGCACTTTATTATTTTTCTTAAGCTCATCCATCAAAGTGAATTAAAGTTGGCACAGACAGACTGGGCTATGAATTCCCATGGATTTTAGGAGAGCCCCTAAGATATCCTTTTTTTTCTTTCCCCCTTCTCAAATACAACCTTGACAGTGATGGAAGTTTTATAATTTGTGGCAATTATTAGGTCTGAGACATGACACACACACACGACACCTGTTTTTGTAATTCACGTTGATTTGCACTGTCACTCCTGCGCCTGAGCAGTGAGACGACAGAGCGGCAGACAACTGCACGAGTGACGCTGCTCCCTTCTAGTTGATCAATGAGCTTTTGAAGGATTTGATTTGTGAAATTAATGTCCCGCAACCCATATTTCAAGATTTCACTTTTTATTAATTATTTCTGCTTGCTTTTGTTAGACATCCACACAAAAGTGCTTTGGTAAGATACATTATATCCTTCTTTTTCAAAATATTAGGAAGTGCAAAAATAACTAACAAAGCATAGTTTGGCATTTTTCACATTTTTTTTTTTTAAAGTTTTGCCAAATGAAATATCTCCTTCTCAGGAAGTCCTTTAATATTCTGTATATTATTCCTGGAAGGATTTTTGCAGCATCTTGTATTTCACTCCGGTCCCTGCTGTGCAGAGAAGATATTAGCTTTAACAAATATTACACACTGTATGAAGGCATCTCTTGTATTTCAATTATTTTTTTTAAAATGCTTAACTTTCAGAAACATTTTTTTAGTCATCTTAATAGCAGCGTTTGTCTGGTACTTTTGTCACTCCGTTTCAGACATCACTCGCCACTAGATTTGCACAGGAGGCCTTCGGGAAGCAGTACAAACAAACCATTGGCCTGGATTTCTTTCTGAAGAGAATAAGCCTTCCAGGTGAGACACCTTTATAATCTTTAGGGAGTGCTTTCTTGTTCTGAGACGCTGTGCAGACACGAGTTTCACAAGCAAACATCAGTGGGCTGTATGTTTTCAGTGAAATACTGAGAAAATGCAATTTCAGATATAGTTTTTAGATTTTTAGACTAACTGGTTTATAAGCTGTCTGTATACAGTAGCTATTATGTTTGCTCAACATTTTTAGACTGTTAATATAAAGGTTTATCTCACGCAGAGGCCTGATCACCATCAGTTTTTATGCATTTGTTGCTAATTCTTTTTCTTTCTTTCCATGAATAATTTCCCCTTAATGTAGGAGCTGAATGTGACTTTTCTGGTTGCTCCTTATTGTAGAGCGTCTGCCATTTCTCAGCCTTATTCACTCTGAAAGTTCTCCTCTCTTGAGCAAACAGCACACTTCTTTTGGACTCCACAAGGCCAACAGTCAGGTTATGCTTAAAGGGACAGGCCTTAGTCATAATTCTGGGGACACTTTTAAGAGAAATAAATAACATTTTATTTCCATGTTGCTAATCCAGGTGTACAACTGTACTTTGTTCATCACCACATGAAACAAGGTCACCCACACACACACACACATTCACTGTATCCCTTTTTAAAACATTAAATAAATGTTTATTGCTTTATGCTATATTTAAACGAAAACACTCTATTTAACTTCCTACGATCTCAAATGGGGATTTTCAGAATTCCAAATGGTATTTTTTCAAACTCGGCCAAAAGGTCCAGAAATCCTCAAAGTGGCTCCATTCTTTCGTTACTAATAAAACAACATTAGGCAAAAGCAAATTAAGTGCTAAAAGTAAAAGTTATGCTGATTTGTGAGTTGGCTAAGGGATTCTATTTTGATTTTGTGTCCGTTTCAGCTCATGAGACTTAGGAGAACTAAACCCCCAAAAATGTTGTGGTGGAGTCGGGATGAAAAGAGCCAACTATAAGCACAGGCTGGACTGAGCGTCTTAATATGAACCTGAATAAATGCCGTTAATCGCTTGACTTCTCTTTCCGGTAACTTTCTCTCTCTCGAAATAAGCTGTGACGTGCTCTGTGTTAAACTGTAGCTTTTGTTAAATTATAGATCACATATTTCTGTATCACTGGGGCAGCAACAAAGCTGGATTCAACACCTGAGTTGTTAAATGGCCCATTTTCCAAGGAATTGAGTGTTGATGAGCTGATGAAGAGGAGGGTGGCTCTTCGAGCTGGGTGGTCCTGGACTTTGTTAGGACCCCCACCCGGCCTTGTACTGGAGAGGTTGTGTGGGTCTCTATGGGGCTGTAAGAGTCTTTTGCAGCAGGGGGGCGAGTAGCCTATAGCCTAGAGCTGGCCCCTCTCACCATGAAGGCCCAGCTTGTCAAACTTAATGTACATTTTCCAATGCAGGCAGAGGTGAGGCGAGGCCGACTGGTACACAACAGCCTCCTCTGTGTGTGCGCTTTTTATAACAATACCTCTTCCAGATGTCCCTGCCAAACCAATGAGGTCGAGGCAGTGAAAGGCATTGACTAGAGGTGAAATCTACACGATAAATTCTGTTAATCTTTTGAGAGATTTTGGGCTATATCAATATCACATTACTTTAAAAGTACAGTATCATACTAATGTATCTGACTTTATATTAGTTTTAGTGTTTGTCAGTTTTATTCACAGTTGGATAATTTACTTATTGCATAACATAAACAGAAATGTGTCAGAACCTCTGAGTCAGCATATTTTTTTTAAAACAAACTATCGGGCCTACTGGATGGGTAGGGATGGGTCTTTATGACACCAAGAAGCCATAATTCATTGCCCTCCTCACTGTAACTTGACTTTAACTGTGTATAGTCTAGATGTAGTGACTGTGAACCCCAATGTTTTCTTTCCTTGCTTTAAAAAGTGCACGTATGAAGGGGCTGAGTCATCCAGCCGTGTCCACGCTGTGCACTCTGATCCTCTTCAGAGCAGCAGGGTCTTCATCACGTCAACATAAACCCCTCGCGGCCTGATTCTCCCTCCTTTTCATTTTAATATATCTTAGCTACACATTTTATTTTTCAAAGAAAGAAAACATTTATTTGGATTTGTTTTTTTTTTGTGCTTGTTTTTCTCTCTTTCATTCTGTTTCTTCCCACAATTAGGACATTTTGAGTTTTGATTATTTCTATTTACCCCAACAGCACATAATTCTTCAGAACTAATTTACTTGTCAGAACACGGCACAATGCGAACAGCTTTGCCACATTAATATGACAGTCTTTTCTTACAGCCAGTGTATTGAAAATGTTAAAATTAGAGGGTAAGCATACACAGGCATCCTTCGATCTCTCAGCTGGATATAATTGGATGTGAGCTGTAAGTGATCTGCCAGTTCAGGGGCATTTAGCGTGAAAGATCAATTCTATTTTTTCATTTTTTGTCATAACAGTTTAGACTTTTATTATAATAAAAATGGTCAAATAATAGGGTCTGGTTACAGCTTGATCATTTGCCACAGGATTTTGTGCTTTGTGAACCCCCCACAAAATAAAACGTCCAGAATGGAAACCCACAAATCACTTTTTTTTTGGCATTTTTTTTTAATTCTATGTTAAGCTAATGTTTAATCAGTCAAAGCATTTATGAAAAACATAAATGGAAAACTAAATTGTGAAATATGATTTTGTTCATAAAATGTAATTCCTTTATAAAATTTCCAGTATTTGTTTTTCTTCTGTTTTTGTTTTTTCTTCAATGCAGGCAACTTGAACGTGACTCTGCAAGTTTGGGACATTGGAGGCCAAACTCTAGGGGGGAAAATGCTGGACAAATATGTATATGGAGCTCATGTAAGGACCCACTCATATACAGACATGTTTACTTATGTGCTCAGCTCTTACATAATAAATATTAAATTATTTATAATGTATAAAATTTAATCTGTCCTCAGGAAAATTAATTTATTGATTTGATGACAACTGAACATTATTATAAGCATAAGGTGTCGGCTCAAGTGGTGGTCATTTGGACAAAAATGAGTGTCTGTCGCCATCTTTTATTTGAAGTGGTCCACTTAAAGTTTAACTAAAACCATATTGAAATTAATCATCTTATATATGGCAACATTTTTTCAATGTACCAACTATAACAACATACTCTGTCATTTATCAATAGAAGCTAGATAAACTGGTTTTTTATTACATAATTTTCATATACTTAATAAAAGTGTCTCTTCTTGGCATTTTTTCAAAACCTCTTCCATTGCATTGAGAGGCTATCATTAATTTTTATTACTATTCTTTATTTATTTTCGGTGACAAATTACTACACTTTGCTTAGTGAGTTTTCTCATCAGCATTGCCTAAAACTTTAACACCTTTTGTTTGGCACGGGGTATCCTGTAATTAATCATGGCTGTTCAGAGAGGCTCAGAGTAATTGTCGGAGGCGTAAGCTGTCGGCACGACCTTGCGTGTTGTGACAGTGCGTGTCGGTTGAACAAAATGCAACAGAAAGCTTTTCAGTCATGTTGCATCATGCAGTAAAAAGAAGACGCGTTTTCTTTGGCACTCGCTCAGTTCTAGTCCTTTAGAAAAAGTAAAAGTTGTAGTACTTATAAAGATAGCTGAGCCTATACTTGAGCTATTTGCTTTGATTTAAGCCAGCAGCTCTTGTGTCTCTTTATTTTTTGATTCATTTATGTGTTCATTAAAACGACTCCTTTTGACCTGAATATTTGCCCAAACATAGCTCTGGTATTGTTGCATGGCTCTTTTGGCAGTGTTATGGCTTACCGAGAGAGGAGAAAAACTCGAAGCAGACAGCCTTCATTCATTAGCTGAGACGGTTGATAACCAAATGTGACCTTTGTTCTTGAATGAATCAACATTATGGGTACCAGAAGGAACTATTTATGTTCAAACCACTGTTTTGGTTTCTGAATGTCCAAAGTTGTAATAAATGACAACAAAAAGGACCAAAGTTTACCTGTGAAGGTGAATGATTTCCCCATTAAATGCGTCTGTCGCCAAATGTAAAAAGAGAAACAGTGCCACCTACTGATTTATTTTTCCACTTTATATCAATAATAACCCTGAGTCATCTGAGGTTACAGAAACTCTGCTATGTATACACTTCTCTTATCTATCAGTGAACAAATGTTCATGAGAGGTGCTCATGATAACCTTAACCTTTGTTTTCCAGGGTGTTCTGCTTGTTTATGATATAACCAACTACCAGAGCTTTGAGAATCTAGAGGACTGGTTCAGCATGGTAAAAAAGGCCAATGAGGAATCTGATATTCAGCCGGTTGTCTTCTTAGTAGGCAACAAAAGTGAGTATTAACATTCACAGATTCACAGAACTCATACAATTCTGCTTTAAAAAATGTTTGTTGTTATGCATGTGGACTTTGGTTTCTAAGAAATAGCTATGAATTAACTTATTGAATTGGAAATTTCTGGATGATTTTGATTTTGTTGGATTTTTTTGCGTGCTTGTAAGTGAAGGAGTGAGTGTTTGATGATAGCAGACATGTTTGCAGAAGCACTGGATAACTGATTAGTGTGATAAGCAGTGGGAATGCTGATGTTTGTGAGCTCATGGGAGTGACTGACTTTGATTTAATATCCTCGAGCCAACGGACCCAGGTTACTGCTTATCTACAGCCCTTTCCCTCCCAGTTGGTACCCGTCTGCTCCACCTCAAACCCCCCCCCCCCCCCCCCACTCCATTCTGAGCCTGCTCTCTTGTCCCACGTAGTCAGTTAAGGTGAGGAACTCAACATTAACCAGACAATGTTCTACTATCAGTCTGCAGCCGTACCCCAATCTTTCAAATAAAGACCAATAATGAGAACTCTATTTAAACATCTTGCTGACAAATGTGGAGTCACGGCTGCTGTGCTGTTATTGTAAAGCAAGGCATCAGTGTGTGTGTGTGTGATGGTGACTGTCCACCTTCCTGAACAATGATGGACTGTCAACAGAATGGTGCCTGCACACAGGAAGCTCCCACTAATGTTACTCAATGGGGCCCATAGGTCATGCTTTAATACGCCTGTCTAGAGCAGATTCTCTTGTCTTCACCTTCGATGCAACTTTTGATGCCCTGACTTAAATGCAGGGCGCCTCTGTATTTAGGCTAGGTTTTGGTTGTGTGGGTAAGAGTGTGCATTGTAATATTTAGGTAGCGTTTATCCTTCTGTCAGGCTTCCCACATCCCACAGCTCCACATGCCAGTCACTCTCCACCCATGGCTACAGTGCCAAGACTGGTCCAAGTGGGTTTTTTTTCTGTTCCTGAAGACTGAAAAAAGAAAAATAAAACCCCACACAGATTGCCCCACTAGGATTGATCAATTATCTTGCAAGACTTCATGAATCTTTGAACTCATCCATGGACTGCTTCTTTTTTTAGAGGGCTTGAAGCCAGAAGTTACGTATAGAGATGAATGTAGTCCATGATGTAGTAGTTAAATGAAGCTAATGTGGAAGTTTCCTTAAGTGTTTTGACACTGATTATTGATAGGTAGTGGCTCCCAAACACAACTCCAATAGACTCTTGTTTTAAACTTTTTTTTTTCATCAAAATCTAAATTACAGTTTTCTCACAAGCCATTATGAATTCATCAGCTGGACTCAGTCATTGAATACTATGGTCTTGGCTCTATTAAAAGCATTTTCCTCTTTTTCTTTTTTAAAATGACCAAGATGGTGAAAACGTAAATCTAGACCAAGAACTTTAAAACAGCAATTTCTAAACTAATGAGAAATATAATGTTGGCTATGTCCTTTTACAAAATTTACAGCCTATTCTTGAAATACATTAGTCTATATGTATAGCTTGAAAAGTGAATACTCACATTTTGTTTTACAGTTTAGTCTCTGGATTTTTCCCCTCTCAAGAACTGTGGTTTTCCCCCTCCAAATTCAATACTTGGCACACATTCCCAATGAACTAAGCAAATGAATACCCAGCATTCTTTTTCAAGTAAAGTTGGGATTTTGAAATGTTCCCAAGATAATGCAATAAGAGAGGCAACACGTTTAGGACAACTGAAATAGAAAGTACCGACATAACAAGGACCTTACAAAAACAGCAGAGTTGTCTCTGAGGGCTGTAGTTTTAGCCACTCAAACATTTTTTTTTAGTTTTTCTAATGAGATAAACTTAAGGTGGATACTGAATGTCGATGCCATGCATTCATTGTTACTTACAAGAGTGACTGATAACATCAGTACCATGCACATGTGCATATCTAAAATGGTGCTTTAATATTTTACTGCAGTGTTTTTGGAATTTTGAAAACACAGACACTAGGCCTGTCACGATAACAAATTTTGCTGGGCGATTAATTGTCTCAGAAATTATTGTGATAAACAATAATATTGTTAGAAATGTGACAATAATTAGTAATTATTAGGGATGCACCGATCCACTTTTTTTACTTTCGATCCCGATACCTAAATCTAAATATCGGCTGATATCGATCCAGTTCCGGTATCATCATCATCACTGATTTTATATGAGGCTGTAATAATCTCCTCTCAAGTACAATTTGTACAAATATATGCATGCATGTCCAAAAAGGCAACTTGAGGTAAGTTGTATTAATGTTGGATAAGTTTTAAAGTTAGAATTAAATTCTAACACAAAACATGTTTCTTTTTATTCCTAGTTTTAAAGTGGATATTAAAGTGATTAATTTAAGTGATTGTTTAGTTATTTTATATTTTTTTAAATAAGGGGCAGATATAAGAATTATTTTTCTTCTTTCTGCACTCTTTTCATTCAACGTTTTATTTTGATGATTTCTTTTAATTTTTGTTTCTTTTAAATGAATGAATAAATGAATAAAATAAAATAAAATGTTAAATGGCTTCAAACACCTGGCATAAACCAACAGGCATGTTCCTGTTTTTAGTATTTTACATCACTTTCTAATGTAGCTGTTTTTGTTTTTAATATAATTTTCAAATCATATGTTTTTTATGATTGTCTACTGTTGTACTGATAAATCGTAAACTATATCTTGACTGCAAGTATCAAGCTGTGAAATCTTTCGTTTTCTACAACTGATAGTGGTTGGTCATGAATCATGATGAAGTTTAGCAACTTCTCTGTAAACATTTGAGCTCCGTGGTTTCAGCGATGTCTTCTTCTTGTTCAATCCGAAGCAGGCAGCCTGATTTGGGTCAGCCGCGCTCAAGTCTGTCCCTCCTCAGAGACGGGCAGACTGAGCGGGGCAGATTGGATGCAGCTGGCCGGGGTCGAGTCGCCTGTTGTGGGTTGAGCAAAGAGCAGCGCCCTGCTGAAGCCACGGAGCTCGAATGTCCATCGTAAAACTAACTTTACCGCGGTTTAATGTGGTGCTTTGGCTCTGCAGACATTGAACGATGCTGTCTTGTTTTGTGGTGTTTCTAGTGTAAAATACTTCCACACAGCGGACATGTTTAGATGAAAAGTTTGTTAGCTGTTAGCCACAGTGCTGCTAGCTCAGTCCTCACGTTGTAGCTGGCTGCAAACTATGAAATGGATTTCCTGAATGTGAGGCGGGTCTTATTACTCTGGGTTCATGAGACACGCCGCCGTTCAGGAAATCCATTCCATAGTTTGAAACCAACTTGCATCATGGATTGGAAATATCGGCAGGTGGATCGGAAAAACCCGCCACGTAAATTATGCTGGTATCGGAGGCCAATACTGGATCGGATCGGCCCCATCCCTAGTAATTATTGTCAAATTTAAGAAGAAATATTTAATTTGTTTTGCATGTAATACCTTTATTCAACCACTGGATGGTAGTATAAGACAGTTTGAACCGAAGGATGGATAATGAGGGAGCGAGCAGTGGGTAAAAATGGGAGGGAGGCCTCTTGATATGACATGGGCTGTCTCTTTTCATTTCTCAAAATGGTGGATGCTCGGCGATGCTTGAGCTCTTTAGCATAGCATTTTTCACACAAAGATTTTAATAAAATAATCAGTAAACAAGTTTTCAGCTTCTTTTAGCAGAGAAAAACAACTTTTTACACTAAGGTACGGGTTTCAATCGTGAATTTTGGAGCTTTGACAAGACTGAGTTTTATTTTCCGAGGCCGGCCTGTCAGCTTAGCTCATAGCTTAGTTTCTCAGCTTAGCTGCTTTTAATGATCCAAAAACATGATTTTGGACGGTTAAAACAAATTTTAAAGAGGAAAATAGAAATGGAGGGGTCAATGAAGAGCACCGGAGTTGAGCCTTTTGTCATCCAGTGTCTTCAGTAGAAAGAGAGAGACACGAAGAAACAATAAGGTCGATAAATGAAAATGAGGTAGATAATTTTAATTTATCATGCCATTAATTGATTTATTGTTTATTGTGACATGCCTAACAGACACTACAGTCTAATTTTACTCAGGTGTATAAACTTTTATTGAGCTTAAAGAATCCTATCCTCATTTACCACTAGTTTAAGTTGAACACTGTCCTCTTTACTCTGTGTACGATAATTGAGCCATTGGACTCCGTAAGTTCATTAACGATGCTGTCCCCTCCTTTCCGTACCTACGCCTGTCTGCCCTTCTGTGCCATGTCATTTCTGTGGAACAGTCTTTCTTTTCTTTGGGGTTTGCATGGCCGGCTGGGGTTAAGTGTGCTTGTTAAGCACAAGAATTCTGCACACCCTTGTCCTCTCCAAGCTGGCCAGAGCTTTGTGTTAAATAATGGCTTCACTTGTGACATTTTAGAGAGGAAGTCAATGAAACATTTTATTAAGGGCACACATCTGTGCACTCCATTATTTATCCAAACTCTCTTCCACAGAAGCATGCACATATGTAAAATGACACACTTATGACGTTTCTGGGAACACAGGGGTAATGGAAGAATGCTCAGTTGGTTTAAACACACTACAACTGTGCATACAGTGCAGGCTAATGTTGTATTGTTTGGATGGCAAGTGTTCAGTGGAGTCCACCACCGTCAAGTGTTGCACCTGTACCGTGGTAAGTAGTGTAGTGTTTTCAAAAGGCCCCAAACGATACATTCTGTTGCTCTTTGCTTTAGCTGCATAAAGCTTCTTTGCGACCACATTTTTAAGGAAGAGTGAACATTTTAATAAAATATTGTCACGCTGAGAGTGGCTAAAATTTAGAGTTCCCATCTTTTTTAGACCGTTGCGTTATTTTTAAAACAAGTTCACTGTTTTGAAGTAGTTTACTGATAAAGAGAAGTGCACATATTTCTTTTTAGACATTAAGCCCATGCCATTTATCAAACCAATCTGTTTTCATTAAGTGGCAATCGCAGGACCCCTGCTCATTCCCCACGCATCACCCGTCTCACTGCCAGT